CGGTTTGATAAATTACTGGCTTCCCTGAATCTCTTGTGACAGCTGGATGGAAGAGACTTCAACCTTAGCTAGTGAGCTTTCGAAGCACAGGTCACTCGAATTCGATGTGAGTTCTGATGTTGGAACAATAAGGAATAGCACTAGGTTTACTAGGAAATCTCTACAGCTGTGTAATATATATCTTGTTCAGATAAAAGCAATCTGGATAGGTTTGTCTGATATTCATTTCAATTTCGTTTATTTGTATGTAATTTTCCTACGGTGGTAATTTTTAATTCTTCGCAAAAGCATTTTATTCACCTAATTTTTCAATTGCATTGGATGCAAATAAAATTTAAGAATCCAAGATGGAAATTTATGTATTCGTGAACTAACTTATTTTGGGAACACCCCGCATAACCATGCCCGCTGACTCGATAAAAAAAGGTCTTCATACCTCCGTTCCCGGACAGCCGCCTGTGATTGATAAGACATAATACCATACCATAACACAATACGATTGACTATGGTAAATTTTTCAATGTCCACCTCCTTTGGCTCGTTATTGTTTCAATTTCTTAGAATTTTGTATCGTTTCTTGATTGGTATATTGTCCAGCATCAGACCAGTGATATATATATATGTATCTATCTGTAATTTAGAACAAACATTTCATAATTTGATGCAAACAAAGATAAGAATCGAATAGCATATGGTGTTGAGGCAAATAAAAAGGGCGAAGGTTCCTGCCTTACATTTTTCGCTGGAAATTTTACTCGGTTTTTTTTCCATGTCAGATTCAGTAATTTGAGATAAAATATTTGATGATAACAATATTTCTCTCCCTCTATCTTCCCTCAAACCGAGCAAACTGAACTTTCTCATGAAATTAAAATGTCACGTCGTTTTAGCAGGCTAAAATCACTATCGGCCTTATGGACCAAAGAACAGTGCAACTGATTATTCATAATTCACGTCAACATTTAGAAGTAAGTTCAACCGCAACTTGTTTGAAAGGATCTACTTGAGCGTGCTTCGCATTCAGTTGTCCGTGGTTCGAGCCGCTGCACCACCGCCCAACTTTGGTGGTAGGCGGCCTTTCTGTCGTCCGGTTCAATACCACATCTAACCTATCGGGGCCTTGTGCGGTTCGCTACTCCAAGTTCAGAGGCTTAAGTTACCGATCTCCATCACTGAACAGTGGGTTCTCGTGACTATGGGGCTTTTCCCGTCTGGTATTCATCACATGAAAGTGTGTAATAAGAAAATTTGTGCGAAAGTGCTCCAGAAGCCTACTGCGTATGCGTTAGAATTCAAAAAGATGTGCCACGCGAGCAGTGTAGTGACTAGGTATCCCTCATTCTGTCAATAAATTATAAAACGTATTGATGAGAAGCCTCTGTTCCAATGTTCTCCGTGCTCCTGTACGCAAAACTACAAAGCCAGTTACCTCAATAATGCTGTTCAATCTGCTGGAGGCAAGTACTCTCATTCAAATACGGAATCCTATGAATGAACACGTTTTCTTGCTCCATCAGAAACAAATTCTGAAAGGCCAAAAACGTTGTTCATTAAATGCTTATTACAATTTCATACCGGTTATGTGTACTGTTTCATCTGGTTTTGGTCGCATCAAATTGGGACCGAAACGAAATTTATGTGCATTTATGATTTTGTTTCTTCATTGGAGGCCGTTGAAAAGCTAAAACTCGAATGAAACCAATAGTTGGATGGTGATTTTCAGGTTGTCTATACATTAGATCGTAAACCAGAATCATTTTGGTAGTTTGACGGTGGATGATAACTGATGCGGATTATGCCGGTATCTGTCCTGGTTTTAACGTGTCTCAAACAAATTGGGAGAAGGGGAAGGCTTTGCTTGCCTCACAACTCAATAACATCAATTATTAAATGCAGACTAGCGAGAGCAAGAAACGTTGTTTAGTTTTTAAATGTTAACCAAATCTTACTGTTTTCGATTCAACAGCGAATGCATTTTGAGGAGAGAAAACACCCTCGAGTGGAAACATGCAAATACCTGGCTCAAAACTGATTGTGATCATATCGCCCCAAGAAAAAACTTTGATAACCATCATCAAAAGGTAATATCATGACAAAAGCTTACACTGAGTAGACAAAATACGATCAAATGATCCAATTGATAAATTAAATAAAAACAAAGACACTGCATCAGGAAGATAACAGAAATTACTCCAGCATCTTAGCAACCAAAGTTGGATTAATTGAAGCTTTTTGATAGATAAAAAATATTATTTTGTCCTTAAAAATAATAAGCCGGGTCAACCTGCAATGAATGATCTCCTTTGACTAAAGAAACCAAAATAAAACTAAAAGTGTAGTTTTCAAAGAGATTTATCTTTATGCTCATTTCGCATAAATTGCTTTGAAAAGTCAGCTCAAGGTGTTGCATAATTTCAACTGGCAGAAATTCAAGTTAAATCCAAAGAATTAAACAATTGGGGAGACTCGGAGACTTTATGGTGCTATTGAAAAGGAACCGGAATTATGTTAGGATATAAATGACCTTATATTGATGCGAAGCCGTAGTATCAAACTAGTGGATCAGTTGCATGTGACATGTCGAGCAGGTGAACTGGAAACAGTATGAAAAGAATACACGGAGTGGACTAATGAGGGAGATTATTCTTAATTGGACACCTGAAAAATGACTCCCAAGTGAGTTTAATACACGTTTTTCCTGCTCGTTGAGTCTTATGGAATTCGTTCGATTCGGGTCACGTGACCAATCATTCCGGTCAAATAAAAGATCACATATAGTATTGGAAACGAGGATGAAGAAGAGGTGGCATAGAATAGAATCGGCATAAATGTAAAATTTCTCATTCCAGGAACTGAGGAGTTTCATTCAGTTTTGTCAAACTGAAAACCATTACTTGGAGATATGTGAGAAAATGTGGGTTGGAGAACCGTTGTTTTAAGCAACTTTGTTATTCCTGTGAATACAAGGAAAAATGAGTCAGTTGTTGCAATCATGCTTTCTCCGGTAGTAGTGATCCAATTGTCCGCTTCTTGATACAATTTATATAGGACCGAATTACCTGTTTGATGAACGTCAATGAACACTAATCACATATTCGTCCTTATTGGAACTTGTTAACAATAGACCTCATTTTTAATCCTCACCGTCACGTGAACCAGGAACGTTGAGATGGATAACTGCCATACTCACGCATCTGCCAGCCGACAACAGAGAAAATGTGAGACTCATGGTTGCAAGGATTGGCCTGTTTCATTTGTGTTGTCAATGGGAATTTGCAAAATTCGTAGCCCGATTGCACTGTTCAGCATTTTGGTCCTGTTATTCTACTCGTGTTGTGAAAACAACAGACAACTGGATGTGAATTGCGATTCAGTTACTTTTAAACACCAGAAGTTTTTATCGTCACAAATCTGTTTGCTTAGGACGAAACATTCGTTGCTGAAAGCTATGATTAGGTGAAAATGTGAATCAACAAATAGATTTTTCCAAATAAATCACATTATTTTCGATTTATCACGTTCCGCGATTTCGTGGTACAACTTGTTCAAAATTTAAAAATTGCAATCACATTGCACTTAATCTATATGAAGTTGTATCCTGAATTTCAAGGTGAAACTTAAATATTGATCTTATGATCTTGCAAACGGCATTGGTAAATTTTCAATGAAATACTCAATGTATTATTTGATCGTAGCTGTCAGTCTCAACAAACTGCTGGTAAGCACAACCTAAGCAGGATTAGGTTGATTGGTANATAGATAAAACGCCAGCAAGCTACCCACTAAGCCAACGGACAGCTCATCGACCGCTTCTCATTTTTAATATGCACGAGATAGGGCAACTGATGTTTGCAATTGTGTTGCGAATATCGATCTTCGCATATCTTACCACTAGCCTCCAAGGTTAGGACTCGGTTGGGAACTCTTGCGACCTGATTATTTGTTTCATGAAAGTATTCAAGGATTTGATTTGTTCATACGATGAATACATTTCACATTTCATTACACCAAAATCGCACTCTGTGGTGCTTCGCTTGGAAGAATTGGATAGCTCTCAAGAAGACCACATTTAAACCCCAGTCACCGACAGTGAGTGGACTGATTAGATCAGTAGTTGGTGAAACCGGCTAACTGCAAGGCCAGTGCGGATGCGGGGAGGGAGGGATTGAATTTCCACAGTGGATTGCTTTTGTCATACGGCATTTGAAGTTTCCATTCACATCAATCATAATTAATTTTGCAGCGGACGGAATCCCATAGAGACGCTGTCTCGAGAAACGCAATTCATGATCGAGGGGCGCTATTTATTTCCGTGAGACTATTTCAGTTCCCACCGACGCGTTTTGTGCTGTAGCTTTTGTGCAAAACTGATGTGAGTCCGCGAAACTATAAGTTTCCGGTCATAGTCTCTGGTTCTGAAAAAGTTGAAATTGTTTCCATTGGCCAACAGGAGTCAGTCAGTTTCCGGTAAGGCTCCATTGTCTGTCTATCGGAACGAGCGGGGAATCCCAAATCGATATGGTTATGTAAAACAAATAGAGAATTTAGCAAAATTGAGGCAAATGTATTTGCACACTGACAGCTATTGAGACTGATGTCGCTCGCCTGTTGAAGCCAAATATCTAGGACAAAGGACTGGGTTAGTTTCTGTTCTGAGACCAAAAGGTTAGAGAGAATACCATGCTATGTTACGTGCAACGAACATCAGTTTGTCAAACCTTTTTATCCAATGATATTCTATCCCAGTATTCACCGAATGACCTTGACCGGTTCGCCGCGATCACATACATCACGTAGAACTTGAAATTTGCCTTGCATGAATTTGACTACGGTCGCAAGAAGTTTTGGCTTCAAAATTTTCTCCTTTTATCTATGTAATTATTACGAAGGTAACACTAGTCTGCACCAAGGACACTCTATAATCGGAAAGACAGTGCAAAAGTTGTATCGGGTTTTAAAATTATGTGCTCGGTTCAACAGGCATAGTGATTTATTGAAACTCATTTGATACAATCCGGTACATCGATATTGGGGTTGAAATCTACGTTGATTGCGTAATAATGTGTGCCCAAACGAAAACACAAATAGCTCTTGGCAACCCGTTCCACCACGAGCAGATATCGTATTGTGTCAAACGTGGGCGGAACACGTGAGCGCTTTATAGCAAGTCCGGATTTGGTACTCCGTTGCCCATGTCGACTAAACGTATCCCCATCCTCTCCCGGTTGTACGAAACCGATAAAGGACAGTTTAGTTCGTTCTGATAGACAACACTGATGGAAATCGATGTTGGAATGTAGTAGGTTTTAAGTAGTATCGTAAAGAAGTATTTCGTTTATTTAGGTGAAAAAAGAGGCTTTTTGAGGACGCGACTAATTGTCAAGTCCTAATTAGTCTGAAACATTCTAGACTATCTTTAAACGTGACTAAATTTCGTTGCGGTCCTTACTCTCACACCCAGAGGAACGTACTATTAATCAACCTGGTGGGTCAATATTTATTAATACATTCCGACAGGATTCAATTGGGTATGAAAAACAGAGGGAATGGTTTCATATTCTATAACTGTTTTATTTTATTAATAATTATTTCCGTTCAGTGGTGTACTTCTAGTTCTGCAAAGCCTCATCTAATTTTTGGTTCTTATTTTAATCGGTGTAAGCGATATCCGGGATTATGTATATAGTTTAATTGAATACAATGATCTATGGAATAAACGTTGAAGTAGAGTTGATGGCATTCTCACACTATATTAATGGGTAACAAAAACCCCATGGGCACTTCCACTAGTCTCGTTCTACTGATTGCATTTCAAAGTGAAAATATGGAAGTAAAGACAGGAAAAAATACTTTTTCAAGTAATTCTGCGCTACTTAGCACTAGAGGCAACACCTTGACACGTTTTCATGGTTTTGGCCTGAAAGACATGCCAATAAGTGATGGGAAAATTTGCACACATGCACCCTTCAGAACATGTCCAAATCGATAAGAAATGAACTCCTCGTGGGTGGGGATATCCTCTATTATGCCGAGTACTTCGTGCGCAGTGAAGACTGTTCAACCATGCTTCTTTCGCAGTTTAACTAAACCAAGGGAATTCTCGCTTCCGTATGGACCAATTTCTATTCCCGTTTGAATCAGTCCGGTTTAAAAACAGAAAAACAATCTGGCTTATTCTTTGCGGTTAGAACGACTGTTTTTTTTGTCGTGGGGAATCGAGACGCCAGAATTCCTTGCACGGTTCTCCATAACTCTAACCTAGAGAGTTCAGTGAGACAAACTGCTCTTCAACACGGTTTGCGGTAAATAAATTGTGTCAAAAGTGAGCGACAGGAATTTTCTATCTTGAGCAATAAAAGCTTAAGACGTAGTGGTCGATTGTGCTTTAGCCGTTGCAGGAACGATCAATGGTTTATGAATTACAATCAATCCAAAACAGTTTGATTGTCTTCACTACACCCGCTCACTCCCTTAAATAATCGATAAATCTCCTTTGTTCAACTGCGTGGACTCTTGTGCATACCATCGCAAATATGCTTACGCGAATTTGATTTCAGTAACTTTATTGGAATCTGTTAGACTTATACACCACACTCCAAAAACTATCCTTCTAACTTCAACTATTTATTCCATGAAGCGGTTTGCGTTTATTCATTAGTAAAACCATTCAATTCGAAGGTTTTTCCAAGACCGATACAGTTTGTCACTTTTAGCAGCTGCCCAAAACATCGATATCTGTCTATCTAGGCGAGAAATAAGCAGACAAATTTGGTGTCCATCCCCGAAACCAAGATACTTGGTACAATCTATTGGACATCGAAAGAGACAAATGTAACACGGAGCAGATCAAGTGGTCTGAGGTTCATAAAAAACTAGAGTCACTCAAACTCATTGAATGTGCACCACGTGACCAAGTCCGTTGGTTTGGTTTTCCAAGAAACAGGTTGCTGATTCCCGCTTAAGTAGAATTTACGTGGACATTTTCCAGAATAGCCTTATCACGACGTGTCTAGGATGCGTTTTCTTCTTTTGTGTTGCGTGTTGCAAGAAGGATGACATTTTCAAACTCTTACTCACTGCATATCTGCCAAGAGAGTTTGTTCCTCATGATTTTTATCGACAACATAGCGTCACAATCAGAATCTTGCCAATTAACCAACACAATTGTACAATGTACGTTTCCCTTGTTGCCCAAAAGGGTGATATTTATGTTTTAATAAGTAGTCGAATTTTCCCTGGAAGCAAATCACCGATTTTGCGATTCTCGCCGCTAGCCAGGCATGCTTGTCAGGTGTATAAATTTTTTCATGTCATTCGTATACTACTTATTATATAAATGTGTGCACGCTGCGTCACTATGCTCGTACCGTGCATTTATCGGTAAGTCACTTTATATTGTTGCGGTTATTTCCCCGGAACAATGCACGGAAGCTTAAGTTAAGGGTTAAGGATTTATATCAAACGTCTTGTAGTAATATACATAGATCATTCATGCAGGGAAAGAAATCCGTAATCTAAGGCACAGTTCCTTGCTGAGAAACTGAACAATAAACGAAATAGTGGGCCGATACATATTGCGTTCCAAAGTACCGGCCAACATCAAAGTTTTGAAGGTCATTTATCAGAAAACACTACATGCAGACGGAACGTTGCCAACTGATCTTTTTTATACAATTGGCCAAATATGTTAAAAATATTCCTCAATGAGTATAATCAAATGGATTAATCGTCTTCTCATCTACAATACATGATGTTCTACGTCCGATAATTGAATGCGCCGCACGAATTGTGCTCAAGCCATTGATTCACTATAGCAGATGCATATATATAACATATATAACAGATGCTTAATGTTAGACAATATTTCGATAAGAATCTTCTCATTGCATACTCAAATTATTTTTTATAGTTTTTGAAATTATTTTTAGTGGCTCTTTCGTTATATATATATTGTTGAATATCATAGTATCCATTGTGCTTTAATAATTAGATACTTCGTTTTGTAGATATTAATACCCTCTGAAAACTTCAGTCCAGAGATTTGATGAATCAGTGTGCGTTGCACTCAAATTTACCGATGAAACTGACTACACAGTGCCAAATATGTACTCGTTATATTTTGACGGGCCCCTAAAATCATCGTTGGCGCTATCCGATATCATTTCTATCTTCTTTTCTTGTGTGTGTGCCTGAATGTGCGCAACCGATGGCCGGGATCATAGAGGCTGGCTCAATCACTCTTTGCTTAAATGCGGTTTTTGGTCTTCCTGTTGAAATTTTCTAGATAAGTTACAGGTATGAAATCCAAACTATCGATCGCAAACATGCCAGAACAGAAAGAAATTGAATAATTTATTGTTTTTGCCCTCTCTCCACCCCTCCTCCTCGTCGTCATTTGAATACCTTATTGACGATTCCAGCAGATAGTTTAAAACTGATAGAAAACATCTCACTCTTAGAAGTAGTATTGGTCTTCAGAGGGTTTTTCTATCAGCTTTTTTCGAATACACCGACCTTTGGCAGTTCTTGAGCACAGAACAGAGCTTGCTGGCGTGTTCCAAACCCTTATAAAGTAAAGCATTAGCAAAAGGTATAGTGAATAAGTAAATCGCAAAGCTGGCTACGTCTGTTGTATTTGGTCGACAGGTAAACGTGTTGTACCTTTACAGACGACGCGTATTCTTAGCTTAGATTGGAATTGATGCCGGTCGGTGTCCCATGCACAAAGCACTGCCATTCAAACTGTAGACTTATCGCTAACTACTGATATCACTTTAAAGCAATTCTCCAAAAAGTACACGGTTAGACCTCTGTATAAATCGTTCCCATTACAAGTGCTTCCAGATTCGCATTACATAACTTACCTCACTGTGCCATATACTTGATGCTCATTGATTAATCTTTGTTGATACTCATATTCCTCGTTCAATTCCTGAGGTATTCCTTGAACCGGTCGGGCCACAATAAACCGGATGGGAACCGCGTGCACGATCGCCTCCACCACGGACTGTTCGGTTTCATCTGTTTGTTGAACTACAGGGGACTCAGTTGAAACATCAGTCGGCCTGCGTGGCTGATTCAGAGGGGGTACGGCGGACGAGTCACTAAGCGGTTCAGTTCGAATAGGCCAATCAATTTCACCTCGGTTAGATTTAACCTCAAATAAATCAATGTGGCTAGCTGACTCGTCTGTGACGTCTGGATTCATGGAAGCGGCTAGGAGATTGGCTGAAATCGTGTGTCGAAGTACAGTGGCCACTTGATCTGGACCGAAACCGCGAACGTTGAAATCTTGTACGCAAACAATATGATCACCCAGTCGCAGACGTCCATCCTGGTTAGTTAGTCAAGGAGAACGGGGCAAAGATGATCAATTAAACCAGCTGTGTGTGCAAGACATCAAGTTCCCGGGGAACGTTCAATGAGGTCGCAATAAAAGAATCAGTATGCTTAGAGAGTTTGATGCCTGAAAAGATTTACTGTAGTTAATCCCCAAACCAGGAAAATAAAAAAACGCATAATGAAGCTTAGTTGAAGACGACTAAATAAAGTAAATCCCTATTTAGTTCATCACGACGAGACTGTACCTTGACGTGGTGTGATGGCATGCGCATCTCGCTGATCCAACGAGTTACACAGAATGGCTTTCACCAAGCCACAGATATAATCATGCCTGGAAGGTCGAAGGGTGGAGGCCAGACGAAGTCTAGTCTCCTTGTTCCCCAGGTTGAGGGTTTGACTTCAAACGTAGAACGTGGTGGAGGAGTAATTCATTCAGGTAAATGGGCGTCTACTTCGCCTCACCCGCTGCCCCTGCGGTTAGGTTCGTGTCAGACCTAAAGGCTTTGCTTGAGAACCCTAATCGCTCTCCTGCTTGATGGCTGGACAACCTAGCAGTACCCGTCCATCAAACCCCAGTGCATATGCTTTGCGAGTTTGGTAGTGATCAGTGAAGTTCCCTTCCAAGTATTTCGCTACAGTACGATGATGATAATGATAATGATAATGATTTAGTCTTATCTTGTTATTCCAGTTATTCGTTTCAAACACAAATCCGTTCTTTCTCATTTTCGTTTATTGAGTGAGCGTGCACCGTTTCGGTTATCCATACCGGGCTGGCTAGAAAAATCTCAAACATCTACGCATAGAGCATAGCGGATCCACGAACGATCAGAAGTAGAACCATCCTCGGCACAGACGCAAATATCGGTACTCAATCGAACACATTTTCTGTTCCTCAATACATTTTCTACAACTTCTTTAAGTGTATTGAATTTATGTTTCACCAAAAAAACATAAATCCCGCATACAACAATTGTTAGAGGAAACATGGAGAACAAAACTTGATACTTAAAATAAAACGAAAATCTCAATAAACATCCATCTGGATAGAGGTAAAAAGTGTTTAAAAAAAGATGTGAGCTCTTGTGTGGACTGATTCAAGCCCGCATGATCCAGAAAATCCAATCGCATGGAATGAGCGAAAATACACAGTATACACAATAAATTATCATACACAGAATTTGAGAGGACGCGAGGTGACGAACAGTTGTGTGAGTGAAATTTAATGCCGGATTTTTAATGCTTATCTGCCCACTTCATGATAAAATCGATAAAGGAAATTGAAGAAAATGATGATTGATATGCTCGAACACTAAACCTCAGATTAAACATTCAACAGGAGAGTAGTAAAACACAATGGATAGATATATAGGGTTGATCAAAGTTTCTTTGAAGAATGTTCCTTGTGAGTTTGGACTGGCCTGCGTTTGCTTCTTAGAAACCAAATGTATCTGAAAATCCGTTCAGTTCGGAAGACAGAGAAAGAGAGAGAGGGAGAGTACAATGAGGCTTGGTTACACAAACCATACCCAGACAGGTTTCGCCGAATCGCAACTGGTAAAATAAGGCTGAAAACAACAGTTCAAACAGCCTCGATCATGTACCGCGCTCCGTCGGTTGATTACGAACTGGAGAAGCCGAACTGGATTCATTTATACTAATATAACCCGCCTCATGAACTGCTTAGGTTCACGGTTTTAAGTAGAAGATGAAAATCTGGCCTGTGTTATATTGCAAATCGAACTATCGGTCTCACTATCAGTGCACGAGAAGCGGCAAAACACGTTTGGTAATTACGCCCGTGTGTGCAACCGGATGTGCTGTCCAATTATATAAACTATCTTTTTCTGCCGTATTGTACCAGCTGAAAAGCGAGCGAAATCTAACTTGGATTAATTCGTTTGACCTAGTTTTGCTGTGATCTCTCGTATCCAGTTTACTTCCGCGAATAAATGTTTCCATCCATAGATCTGTTTGGCCTGAAAGGTTCTCGTGAGTGGATCAAGGTTTACTATGGTTTCCAGCTTGTCAGCAAATGGTTCGCCAAGCTTGCAAAAAGGAGAGGCCGGGGACATTGGAATCGTATTGTACACACTGTTTAGGCTTAAATATATCACCAGAGGAGGAAAAAGCGGTGTTCAGCTAAGAATTATTGTTGAAGAACTTATGAGAGACTAATATACAGTTGAAAAACCGAGATAGCGCTGTATTATTCGCATAATTTTAAAAATTGGACGAAATGATTGATAGATAAATTGGTCGTTTAGATGGAAAAATACTAGAAACTTTTGAACTAACGAAACGTTTGAAAAAAATGAGGCAAACTATCAGGAAAAAATGCATGGAGCATGTTTACATAGAACAATTTAAGTGTTTGCTACCGGAGATAGGGAGAGTCATAACAAAGTATACAAAGCAAACCTTTTGGCTGAAAACAAAACCACAATGATTGATGAAAAACGCTGATAATCAACGGATTTGCACTTAAAAAGAAAATTTCCCAGTCTATGTTAAGTTGTTATCGTTTTTTTCATGTTTATGCTTCTTTTCATTGAATACACAAAGATAAAATTTCTAGGAAGGTGGAAGCGATCAATCAAAGGGTTGCCATTTAACACCCAATAAGGAAAGTCAGGCAGTGGTTGGTGGTGGCAAATGCCAAGACTGTCTGGTGCCAACGTGATGCTACAATAATGGTAACTGTGGAGGACAAACCAATCTCATGTTTATCCTCACTACGGATGAAAACAAACTGAGTGCGTTTTGATGGATGGGTGAATGAAACAGTCTGTTGAATTCCAAAGTCCACAGCTTGTTGGGACAATTTCGTGTTCTATCAGCTGAGGTAGCTGATAACGCCACTTACCGTCATTGATCCGCAGAACTTGACTATTGAATAATTGAATAATTTGTTAGATCTGTCATAAAAACAGAAAAACACCTTACAGCCATGTCTGTCTAAATGAATGAGGTGTTCAGTGACCTAAGTGTCAGTGTGGCATCACATGTGAACGACATTTCTAATGATCAGCCGGGATGAAGTAGGTATGCAAACGGATAGTTCTACACTGACGAATGACAGTTAAAAGTACCCAGAAATAACAACACAAACGGATCCACGAAAAAGTTTTATGCTAGCGAGAAAACTGTTTACAAGATGAAACCTAATTAGATTCGATGGGGGCAGATCAACTGGTGAAGCCTAGCGAGGAGAATGAAATGATAGAATTGTGTGTTTTACAAGAAATGCACGGAAGATAGGAATTACCCCCATCCCCCATGTGGAACGGAATTACCTGCAGTTTAGAAAGTGTGTATCGGTCGAACC